AGAGAGAGAGAGAGAGAGAGAGAGAGAGAGAGAGATAAAAGATCAGACGAGAAGGACGCTTGATTAGTCGAGTGGATCACCGTGGTTGCGCTGCTGAAGGAGCAGATTGCGGGTGACGGTGGCTGTAAGCGGTTACTAACGATAGGGATCAAAGATGGCGACAGCGATAGACGGAATGGCTTTTAATATACAAATTCAACGTTGACCTACATCTACCTGCAATGCTGCAATGCTGCAGCCATTGAGGAGTACCCCGCAAAGCGACTTGCTCCCGACCTGCCAACTAGTGTCCGAAAGTGCGGCCGGATCTTGTATCGGCAAGCAAGCCAGAGGTAGCGGAACGCACCTATTCTCTTCTAGTCCGGGGGGGTGAATCGAAACTAGGACGCCCTGTGCCCAATCAGAACCTGTATATTATATAGCACTTGGTAGGACGACTTTACCCGCCACTAGCACTCACTCTTGGGCTTTATTTTTTTTATGGTTTTGTCTTGGTTGCGGGGAGGGATCATCATGTACAGAAGTTTAGTGGCCATTTCGGCTACGAATTCGGTAAACGGTCTAAAAGGGCCTTGTTCGTTTAGTTTTCGAGTAGTCGTAGACATCGTTGTGATGTGCAGCTCATAGTACGTATAGGTCATATATTTTGGAGTTATCATGCATATTCCCCGGACCATGGTCAATTTTCTGCCACCTTTCCATGCCGGCCCGGCCGATGCTTTGTGGGGTAATTGGGGGCAGGCAGACTAGATATACTCCCAGACAAATACATGTTCAGACGATGAATTGGCTGATCCAAGGCGGTGGTTGAACGCTCTTCTGACGGTGAATTGTAATTCGCCGAATTGAGGAATTCGCGTCAGTTTCGAGTCGATTTTGCGCAGCGCTAGTTTTCTGCATTTGCAAGTAGTCACCATCACCATCACCATCATTTATACTGTTGCTTTTTTTTTTTCTGCGCAGAAAGCCAGGTCCGCAAGTGCATTTATTGGCAGACACCACGCCCGAGCCAGTGTATAGATGGACCCAGATCACTTGTGCAATGTGCAAGTCAACTTGTGCAAATCCCTGGATTCCGCGGACAATATTCAATCATGGCCGAGATTTGTGGGATAAATCATTTGAAAAAAAAAAAAAATGAATGCAGCACGCCTCGCATGCGGGCTTTCACGAGCCGATATAGATGCCGAGTGGCTTTTATGGGGGCTAAACCGGGAATAGAGCTGCAGGCGACATGGGATATAATGAATAAGTAACGCCTCGTATTATTTTCGGGAAAGGGTACTTTGATTAACTTTTTGAATTTCCCATGTTCATAGTTGGAACGGATCACTAGGAGAAGCAAGATGAAGCTCTAGAGCATGCTTAGTCTAAGACTGACACCTTGCAGCTTCAACGCGGCGAATACTCTCATTATACACATCTCATAGTGAGTAGCAAGTGTAACGCAGCCTTGATTGACTGTGACAATGTACGCGCAGCCCGATGGCCTTGACACACGCAGCATTGGCCAATCCCAGTAGGTATGCTAGGCCATGTTGTTCATGCATGATCCCGCATCCACGCCAATTACAATTCTCTTCCAACATGTTAGCCCGCAAATCCGTCCTATTCCAGATTATTCACCAGTAGCTTGGCAAGCTGTTCAACGCCCTCGCGCGTCGTCGTCTGGCTCGCCATCAGATAAATCACATTACCCAGCACACGCGAGTGAATGTTCCAGGGCCCGTTACTGCCCCCCGCCTCGCCCTGCGCCAGAGCGTCGCGCAGTCCGAGAGCAGCGTTGCTGCTGTACCCCGTCCCGGCCTCGTCCTTGAGATGCACGGCAAGCACGCTGCCGAGCGCCCAGACACCGGCAACGCGGGTCCTCATGCGCGAGAGGCTCTCGACCAGATCCAAAGGCCAGACGGACCACACTTCATTGCCGCCACGGCCCCGAGTCTTGTTGGCCAGCGACGGCAGCGCCGCTGCAGAGGCTGACTGCTGCGAGGTCTTTACCCAGCCCTGACTCTTGGCCCAGTCCCAGTCGCCGCGCTTGTCCATCCGCTGCATGGCCTTGAGAGACTCGATGCCGACCTGGCATCCAATAGGGTGGGCCGTGTAGCTGTGGCCGTGCAAGAGGGCATCGACCTTTTCCTGGCTTCGAAAGACGTCAAACAAGTCTTCCGAGGCCATTGTAGTGCTCAGCGGTAAGAGGCCACCGGTCAGCAGCTTGGCGTTGACGGAAACATCCGGCTCGACACCGAGAAACGTCGAGGGCGTGAAGCGGCCGAGTCGGTAGAGGCCGGTAAAGACTTCGTCAAAGAGAATGGGAAGGCCGCTCCATTGCTTGCTGGCTTCGGTACGTGGGCTCATCACACCCTGCTCGTCGGTAAAGAGATGGGGTGAGTTTCGAATCACCTTGACCAAAGTCCTCTGAAAGAGGGGATCGCTAATGCGCCTTTTGTTAGTCTTTTT